TATATATATATATATATATATATGTATACAATGTATGTAACTATAAGTATATAACTATACTAGCATACTATATAACTATATAGCAATGTATATAACTATAACTTTTTCATTCAATCGTAAGCTTCAATTACGAGCGTTAAGACATGGAGTGAAAGAATATATATCAAAAATATATGCCAAAAATCGATCGAGCGAAAAGATTACCGTCCCTTGGGTCATCAGGTTTATCAAGTCCACCGCCATCGAAGGAAAAAGTGAGATATTGAGAATATCCTGGCGGAATAGTATCAAAGTTCGCCAAAGCGCTCATCAACGTCATCGATGCCATTGAACCATAAAATATAAACATTGATAAACTCGCGAACAAAGAAAATACGTAGAAAGACGCGATACAATATTGATAAACTCGCGAACAAAGAAAAAACGCGAAGAAATGTGTCGCCACACGTTCGCAATTCTTGGAAAGAGAGAAGAAGTTACCTCCTCTTCGATTCTAGTAGTTTTACCATATACGTTGCAATTTACGCGGATGCAATCAAGTCTTGCGATACCCCTTGTACGAATAAAATATACTTCGCTAAAGATAGCAATGCATCATACGAAACAAAGGACTGTAATAACATGTAAGTTCCAACGTTCTATAGACAAAAGAAACATTTTTTAACATTATGTATGTACACAGCATGGAGCATCGCGCGGTGCGTTTACCGAGCACATTACGATCTGACGGCTACGAGCCACAAATTTTTGGAAATTGGAATCAATATTGGTCCACCGAATGGAGATCGTCCTGGAAGATTACCGCGGAATTGTCGCTATTTCTCGAAACGAGGAAGAACTTCTACGAGCAGCGATGGAATATTTACAAGAAGCTTCGAAGCGAATACAAAGACAATTTTATAAGCGATGGACCGCTAACCATCAGAATTTGCACTCTGAACAACATGTATGTAATTCGTATGTCCGATTCTGCATTACGACGCTACGCCGTATGTTTGTGTTTGACGGATGTATCGATGTATTCGAACGATTAGACCGATTCGTCGATATGATTGATGTCAAGTATACGTGATTCTCTAACATTGCGTCCGAAGATATTATACGCGATAGTAACATCTTCAATGGACATCAGCTTGTCGATTGCGAGTTGACTTAGTTTTTAAGACGTACGAAAAAAAAACGATGTAAAAAATGTGAATAAAAAATTTTTCGTTCACATCATTATATATATTAGGTGTATAACTTTGCTTCCGCCGTTTTCCTATAGATGGCTTTAGCGGTAAGTGGTGGTCGAAATAAATAGATCATAGACGTCATATAATAAACTTGGATATCTGTCAACATAACCCCATAGAAACATTAGTCGATTT